GTCACGTGTAAACACCCACTAGAACGGACGGAGACGATTAAACACTCCGAGATGCAAAAATAACGAATCGATCGTGATCCGAGAAGAGGGCGAACGATGGAATACCAAAAGGTTTTCAGTTTTTACAACCATTAACCATGAATTTTCGTGAGCCGGTTCTGGTTACTGTCTTTTGGACGCCCATTTGAGTAAAACAGGCAAAATGAAGATTGGAACGTTGACAGAAAACAAAAGCATTTGTATAGACTGATGTTACAAGAATAATGAGCAGATGCATGAACGCCAGTATTTGCGACAGCCATATCGTTCATTGTCTCTAACCATCAGCGACCATGATCTCGCGGTCTCCAGCCAGGGAGCCTAACGGGGCCTATGTGACCTAGTCTCCTGGTTAGANGCTTTTTCCAAAGTATGATGTATGTGTGGCATCCACCTTAATGACATTTGCTCAAAGGAAGATCCCCTCCCCTCTCCCAAGTGCCCTATCGTAGCTTTTTGACCGCCTACTTCGTTAAACAATAAAGTATGGTGTAAAATCGGATGTGTGCACACAGTCGTGAATACAGACAAAGCAGTACAGACAGGTCTACGAACGCTCCACTAAAGCAATAATGCGGGGATCGGTCGGTGAGAACAGAAGCAATTACAACTCTGAAAACAATGAGTAGTTATTTCGTTTAACTTGTAGGTAAGCTGTACCGGTTCCCGATGGGGAAAGAATCTTGAATCCCAACTGGTTACAGAATAAAAAGCCTCGATATTAGTATTACCAGAAGTAAGACTATGAATATTACCCATAGCGAATCGGAAACAGCCAACCGGTAACGGTCTTATCATTTCCGCATTTATGTGTCGCATCGTCTTTGCATGCACGTCTAATTCACCCCAGCAGCGTTTATGGGTCACTCCACATACGAGATGGGTAAATGCTTTGTTCCAACCGAACAAAAGAAGACACGACCTCACCTGAGGATTCGGATCCGTTCATGCACCCACTCACCTACTATCTGCTTCTGACACCCCATTGATCCATTAGATGTAAGATCACGACATCCCGCGCGAGTGCTCACTGTCCCACCTTAGTTTTCCCCATGATGCGCTCTACGCGCGTCCCAAAGTTTGGACCCTATATCACGAACCGCCGCACTGTGCTTGCATTCATTCACCTTTCATAGTTTACGCATTTCACCGATAGTTTTACGCTGCTGTCAGCCCCCGCTACCGTTCGGCCCAATGCTGCGGTATATTGATCGTATTTCATTACATTCTGTAATAGAGGCGGTTTGGTGACAGCTTTGAACGAGAGATCATCAACTGCCAGTCTCTATTCTTATATAGCTGCTCATTGCTGAAGGATAATCGTGGGCGCAGATTAAATTCACTGATGTTTGCTAGTCTTTAATTGTTAAATGCCGGAGATTGTCTAGCACGGCGGATTCTACAGTGATTGATCTCATTTGGAGAATTAAACGAATTTCACAGATTGCTTTCCGGATCAATATTGGCATGAATAATTAAAGGTAAGCAGTAAAAATAGTACAGTTGAGTTCAATCGTGCGAACGGAACAGGTTTGAACATCAGACGATTCATACGTGCCTCATAAGGGGCTCCAGATTGATTATAGGGTAACACACAATACCGCGATTGGAGCTTACTTTTTTGGTCTCCGTAAGAGGCACCGGAAGCCAAACTCTCGTCCGTTTTCGGTTTAGTCCGAGGCGTTTTCCGAGGAGTGATCGGGGATGGAGCTTCAATCGGTGAGAGAGAGAAGTGCAAATATTAGTCCAATCGTTATTGCGGGAAAGAAAGCAGTAGGGAAAACGCTGACAAGAGATAAGTGAAACGATGAAAGAAATTTAGCACGAAAGACGACGAAGATAAAACCATTGCCATAGAGAAAAACAAGCAAATTACTTCGACCGTGACAGACTCTGCAACAGTGTAGAAGATAATACCAACAAGATTTATCACTCCGAGAGTTTACGCAATATCCAAGATACATAAAGCCGGACATTCATACACGGCCCATTCTGGATATGCCGGTTCACCCGACCACTTGATCGCCTGTTGGTTAGCCGAACTACTCGAACCTATCAGGTGGAAGTTGTCAACACACAGGTTTCTGGGCTCAATAAAGATTTGTTGACGCAGTTCGAGAAGTGAACATGACAAGTCAGAAGATGCTGTCATTAGACATGACCTCTTTGTTCAACAATGTTCCTCTCGCAGTAATGATAGGCTACATTTGCGAATTCCTTAATAATAAGGCTATCAACTTAGGCATAGCAGTCTATGTGTGTAGAGAAATTCTTACGTTTTGCAACGCAGATGCACAATCCCAGTTAGATGGTACCAGTTATGGTCAGCAGAATGACAAAGCTGTGTTTTCCGTTTGGACCACTACTCTCAGATATATTCAGCGCCAAGATTGAGAGTAGTACCCTAACACCTATCATTACACAGATGAACAAGCACTACTTGGATGATACATCCTGTTTGGTACCCTCAAACAGATGTGGACGAGATTCTGTGAAGGTTCATTGAATCTCATCCGAATCTCCAGTTTAGCATGGAACTAGAGAATGCTGGTTCAGTCCCGTTTTTGAATGTGCTTGTACGAAGGAATGGACAATACACTCATTATCAGAGCTTTGCGCCGCTGCAACAGAAAAGAAACTTTGTGTGCTGTCTGGTCCGTGGAGCCCGAAAAATCTGCCGCACCAGTAAGCACTCAGGTGAACTGTTTCTGATAGACAATAAATAAAGGGAAAACGACCAGCCAGAAAGCTTCATCAAATGGAACAGTAAGATTGATTCTCAGCCCCTTCGGGTTCAACCGTCCCTCGGAAGTGTTTACGCAAAGATTGATATGGAAATAGATTAGCTGAAACGTTAACTCGTCCACGATCCCACGCCATCGAAAAACGCAATCTGAAGCTAAGTTCTGTCCTTACTGTAATAAGAAGCCTATGCTACAGTTGCAACCCAAAGAAAAATTACCTAGTCAGTCTATCTCATGTTGTGTGTACGCTTATTCGTGCTCCTGTTGAGCGGAATACGCAGGAAGGACCACTAGGCGATTGTCAGAGAGGATTCAAGAACATTGTCTAGGTTGGATATCAAAAGGGATCAATAAAAATGCGATAGTGCCATCCTAGCCCAGAATGCATTCAAGGTCATCTACTGGATGACGTATAATCGGTCTAAAGGATGAGACATAGAATCCTGTCCACAGCCGAAGTGATTGCGATCAGGTTAGACTAACCATTAATGTGATCGCAGACACTGTTGTTCTGGCCTAAGGTTAATGAGAAGGTGGAACAGGCACACGAGTTTGACTCATGTGGACACAGTCCCCAACATCAACCAACACAATAACTGTATGAATACTTACACTACACTACTACACTCACTAAATGTGGTGTCTACATGTCCGACGGTGTACTTTACTGGCTTGACGAAGAGATCTTTGCCACTTTCGGACTTCTCTGGGGGATGCGATTACCGAATCCCATGAGGTCAGTCTTCTCAGGCACTCGAACTGCACCATATAAGAAGACAGTTTTGGAAACCAGCAATTGGGGAAAACATAGCGTTCTTATGCGCACAATGAAAACTCTAGTGTGATTCAGTTCGTCAAAACAAAGGCACAACAACAGACAAATCATCAACAAAAGGGAATGAGTGCGGTCGGGAACGGTAAGCACAAAAACTAAGAAGGAAATGTGTAATGTGCGAACCCGATTCGACTTTGATGTGCATAGACTGATGACATACTGGAGACGTCTTCGGAGAATCCGATGAAACCACTGAGTACCTTTGGTCGGGATCACGTGATCTGGACACCAGCAGCTGAACAAAATTCGACCCTCCGCAAAGGGTGGTTCTCGCGCAACAGTTCCGCTAAAGATGAACTTGGACGGAGTGCATGCACTCGGTGCTTGCACTGCTAACAACCGAGATCAGTGCATCATCACCAAGCCGTACCCCTATGACTAAAAATTCAGACGGAGGGGTCAGTGGTGTAGACAAGCCTCGAGCAGTTCGCAATGGTGTGATAAATGAACACGAGAGATTGAGAGAAAAAACCCGCTGCCATCCGGTGTAACTATAGCGGTTAGACCAAAGGTAAATAAAGCTCATTCTAACCATTTCAAGGACAGAATGATTGATTCATCCGACGTTGTAGTTTGATGAAAACACAACTGCAGTAAGCAGATCTGATACAAAACGAATACCGACAAAACCGAAGTGTTGCAATGAAATTGGATGACTTCGGAGTAGGACCTACACGTGCGTGGATGAAAGAACAGGGCAAACGTGTTTGGTGTGTGTGTAAAATAGATATCCAACAGAAGACGGACAACTAAAAGTGATCATCATGAAAACAAGTCCGTTTCCGTGGGAGACAGGAGAGCGGGCCCGGAGTGAGATAAGGATACATACTGGAGTGATTCAATTACGCATCACACGGATAAATCCGATTGTGATACTCCATCTCATCCGAAAGGATAGAAATCAACAAGTCAAAACCTGGGGAAGAGGGAAATTTAGAAAGAAAAAAGCAGTAGGAAATTCCTTGGAGGGAGAAGAAAAAAGAGGTAACACGAGGCAATGAACGAACACGTTTAAAAAAAACGGTCTGGAACATCTCTGATGACTCAATAACTGAGAGATAGATGATAAAAGTAGTTGGGAGCAAACTGTTACAGTGAATCACGACAATCTGTGTTGACGAAATAAAACGGAGTAGATGTTGGTAAACGCGGAGATAGATACCGGGTTGCGGTCCAAACACAACCGTGCTAGTCAGAAAGTGATTGGAGGCAACGGGATTACACATTCGTGCGGTTTCATGACAGCAGCCGAATCGCGACACAGAGACGTGTCCAAGCAAGTGAACGTAGACACAACAATCATTAAATGAGTGAACAAGCTACTGTATTCCGACAGACCACTCTGGGAGCGATTAGTTAGGCACACTGTGCGTTTTTTTAGTTGCCTCACTGTCGTTTCTGGGCGATCATGCACAATTCATGCGAACGGGGAATATAAAGAGTGAGCGAGTGAGACAAAGAATAACAATCAGAATAGTAACAGCCGGACGAGGGGTAAAAACATGCTGAATGCAGATCGGCAAATCGGAGGGAACTCAATCACAACAAATAGAATCGCACTTTGACGAGCGATGTGACGGGATATTCTGTTCTATTTAATTCCTTTTATTGAACATACAGTGATGCAATTTTCGGGAATGGGAAACGGCCAATCCAAGGGCTACCATAAGACAGCCTATGGGGGAATTTCGAAGATGGTGATGATGGGACTCAAACACCCGTCATCCGGGGTGCTAATTTGATCACCTTAACCACCGAGCGAAAACCACGGGATTTAAACATTCCAGTGGCACGGAGGAATGACTCCATCTTGTTCTCGGAATTGTCTACGGACTGGAACATGTTGCAGTTGACAAGAAAATGTATCCAATCGATAGAAAAAACATTATACCGTGTGGAATACCATGCAGAGTTAGGAATATCAAAAAGCACTATACCCAGATTGCAAAGGTACAAAACCCGAAAGTGATATCCAATGCCTGTAACCCAAGATTGTATCAAGCGAAACAGCATCGTCCGAATAATTTTGTTTATAGAAAAGTTGTGCAAACGTGAAAGCAGACAAAACCGATAAAGATCACTGAGTGAACAATGAAGAATAAAGCATGCAGATGGAATAGAGATAAACTATTCGATGAAAAGCCCGACAAACGCACACTCATTCCCCCTACTCAGTGAATATAGACCAGATATGAATGAATATTCCCACGATCCATAAACGTTTACCAATTAATTATTTCAAGCGATGTGAATTGTAAAGGGGGGGGGTGAAGAGTGGACAGCAATGACTTTAAAAGAAAACAGAAATATAAATGTTCGGCAAATATTTTCCGGTCGTCAAATGAAGAACTTGGTGATCATTCGGATTGGATTCTGTCACTGGCAGATTTACAGTGAACGAGAATGTAGCATGCAAATTGATGTTCCAACTAGATCGCAATATGCCCCCCAAAAAGAATTGGCATTTCGTACTTGTCTGATGTGAATTGTGCGTACGGAATGCAGGCTTCCGGTAATGCCTAGAGTGCTTGTATTCCGGACGTCAGAAATACATAAACTCACAGATTTCAAAAAAAAGAAAATGTTCGCATAACAGAAGAGGGGGGTATTTTAAGAATCCTGAAATTTACCTTGAACATCGACCCATGAACAAGCAAAACCAGATTTTCTAACTTTATCATATCCCGAACCGGTAAAATGGTCAAGGAGAAAGGGGAATCGAATCACTGAGAAGCATGCACGTGAGTTTTCACATCCAAAATCAAACCAATGAGTCGTAATTCATTCACTCTGACTTCATAGAAATTATTTTATCAACTGAGTTTTCAAGGGTCGACCACAGAACACGTCGGTATCACTTGATGTTATTCCTATCATTAACAGCACACAAGTATCAAGCAGCTGAAGAAACAAACAGAGGAGTGCACAAACAAAGACAGAGGAACGGATACGAGACCGAGAGAAGTGACAACAAGATTAATGTTGAACGAAAACCTCATCTTAGGCCACATACCAACCCGACTAGTAGAACAACCTGCTTAAACGCACTGCTGTTTCAGTTGGTAAAACTATCAAACACAAAACACCTCCAGTTTTGGTCGACTGGAAAACAATACGTGGACTCACAAATAAATGCAGATTGTTTGACTGCGGGGTGTGATCAGACATGACAGACAGTGCAGTAAGGGTAAGAACGATTCTACAAAGAATTATTGTTACGCGGATCAACCTCAACTAGATTAATGGACTAGTTAATGTGCCAAAACATGAAGCGGGTCGTCGTGATAAGAAATACCGATGGTGGATAAAAACGAAAACCGTTCACATACGATATTAGCTTGCAGTGAAAACCAGGTATTTCTTTATCAAACAGTTCCAAGTAGTAGTAGGCGGGGTGAGAAGGTAGCATGGTTCCACTGCTTTCCTTTTTGACATTTTATACAATCGCTCGCTCTGTTAGAAAAATGCTAGACTGCGTTGAACGCAAAACGCAGAGTAGGAAAATTTTCAAAAAATCCATATAGTTCAACCTTGAAGCATGACCTTAGTTTAATTAATGTGGTTCATTCTAATTAACCCAAATGATAAGTCAGTATATTTACGTTGGCATAAGTGCATTCCGAGACATCTATGAAAAGAACGATTTATCAAGTCGATAAAATTAGATGATAGATAGATCGAAACTAAATTCACTGTTGTTTGATACTATTCCATTACCTGGTTAATTTATTAACGCTGCTACTAGAAGGGTGTTCACCTAATACACTTGTTAGAGAGTTCGATTTTCTTCTCAATGAATACCATTGAGGAAAATGATCATTATGCAAACCAATCTTTCTCACAGAATCGGAACCTAGTTCCATGGGTCAGAGTGAAAAATTAATTAGGTTTCTGGATAAAACCAGGAAGCTCGAGTGTTACAGAATCTGATGAAACACGGACTGCATCTTAGGATTTTCGTTACAGGAATCCGATCCAAAACATTACATCACGAGAAGTGGATACTTCCACTAGCAGACGCAGTAGAGTTCCCTTGGCACGACGTTTCAAACATTAGTTATGCACAGGTGCATGGGTCGGATCTTAGGACAAGTGCCTGATCTGAACAAACTGATTTAATTGGAACAAAGGTTGGGCATACTTTCGTATATTTCGCTTTTGATGAACATCACCAGTTGAAGTGTGCAACAAGTGAAGAAAACAATCAAGCTTATAGTTTTGAAACCTGATGAAGAAGTCTCTTGACCAGTGAACTGATCCGGTTAAGTGGCTTCCAGTTGTTTGATTGAAATGAAACGCAAACTGTCCAAATGTTGATGCTTATCTCTCTTACATTATTCACTCAAACTTCTGTTCCCCGATTTCACAAGCACGATAATCTCTGTGAACACTTCGTTTCTAGTCAGTTTTCCACGCAATGCTAGCACAGACGATGACTGGAACAAAAGCACTATTAGAAAAGATGAAAAGACAATGAAATCAAATCGATATTGGATTATGGTCAATCTTTAAAGGGCCAGTGAACAACGCCTCTTAAAGCCTCGGTATGGTCGGGGGTGGATGTCTTCGGTTGCGGCTAATCACCCATCCCTTGCATCTCGCGAAACGCTTCCACATGACCAAGCGTCTTAAATAGCTCTGCTGAGGAAGCCCTATTCACTGCCTTCTCGCGGCGGTGTTCCCCACCATACCCTGATTCCAAACCAACCAAAGTGAGGCGCACGAACCAGTTGTCGCAATGGTCACCGGCTCGATTGGACATCGAGGTGTATTGAGAACTTGGACGTTGGACCCTGTCCAAAATACGTATGATCCGATGAACTGGACCTCGGCTCCCAATGGACTCCAGTTTTCAAACAGCGGCCCGCTGCCTTGCGGGTCAAGCTCTGGCTAGCCAAAGGCTCCGGTTGTGGATTCCTCAAGAGAATTCACCTGCGTTGGCCTGGGCAACCTGGCAGTTTTCCGCTCACATGCAAGTCATGGAACGTTTTTATTTCCCATAGAGATTATTTGTTTCGCACACAGTCTGGATTCAGACGTATGTGAAGATATATATATATATATATATATATATATTGTGAACAATGAGAACAACTCAAGTGGCTGTTTGAGTTGTGTCGTTCCTGTGGTACTGCTGATAAGAAATGGATAGTGGGAACTACGAGACACACCAAACACATTGATAAGATGATCTCAATTTTGCGATTTCTTTATTCAAATAGCGAAGCTGAATCTGAGCCTACAGCACATTTTCGCCCTAGTTCATCATTGAACGAACACCATGTTCGTTAAATTTCTGCTCTCTCTGTCTCTTTGTCTATTTAACTTCGATATAGGTTTAATTATGCGAACAGCCCTGTCCTCGTGTGACGGTAGGGGTCTCGAATTGGTCGCAGATGGTAGATTATTTGATCGTGAGTAGGCAAACTGCTAACTGAAGACCGAGGTAAGTTGTAAGTGTTTCTGGATTGTTTGGGTGTTTGTGTAGTCAGGTTCGGCATACGTTTTGCACATTTGAAGTGTAAAATGTTGCCATAATATTGGGTTGATCCAGCTCCTAGCCTCACTCTAACCGGGTAAGTAGAGGTAGTGAACAAATTTTGCTACATGGGCAGACAACTAACTCGGCGGATGTATCACAGGATGAAGTGTCAGCTCGCATACATAAGGCTCAATTGATACTTTCCAACTTGAGACAGTTGTGGCACCGTCGTGAACTACGGCTGTCTATGGAAGGCGGAATGGATGCTGCAGGAGTTAGATCACTTAGCTTAAACAGCACAGAAACAGGAAAAAAGATGGATTGTCGGTGTTCGAACACCACTGTCTACGTCGCATTACACGAGTTTGGTGGAGCAATGCTGCAGGTAAGCGCAGAGTTTTAATAAATCGCAATCGTTCACTGGAGCCAGTGGTCGACCTCGATAGATAACGTTGTTTGGGAAGTGTTGCACATGTCATCAAATAGGTTGCCACGGTACACTTTGTTTTCCGAGGTAGGTGATGGTGGAAAAAAACTCAAGGGTGATTAAAGACCTGATATGAAGGCGCGAAAACCCGTACCAAGACACTCAGTCACATAGGTCGCGTTAGGTTTCCTAGAAGGGGACCCTGGGATCAACGTAATCGATGGTTAGAAACAATGGTGACATGGCTGAGTATCGCGGATAGTGGTGATCAACGTCCTTGCAAACTCTAGTCCCCAGGAATTTTCTGTTTTGACTCTGACACTAAAGTAAACATTCCAATCTTCCCTCTACTACTTCATCCAAATAGGCAGTCATGAGACAGCAAGCATATCTGGTGCATGAAAGTGTATCGTTTATGGTTGTAAAAACTGGAACTGAAACCGAGACACACCATATGCCAAAAAAATCACACCACCTGCTCGTTAAATGGAATGTTGCAAAATAGTGCGGGAGTGCGTGAGCATGTGAGAAAAACTAAAACACAAAGCAGCACTGCAAAACGTTTGCCACCTACCGGCTTCCTCATCCGATTCCGCCAGTGGATGCTCACGCATATCGTCGGGATGGTCGAGCATCAAGGTTTCACCCAACTCTTCCCGTTCTTCTTCCCAACTGACAACTGTGGTAGTGACTGTTTTCAGTATATCGAAAATTGTCACATAGTGTTGTTTGCGAGCGATATGCGCCGGAGTTAAACCTTGCTGTAAGAGAAAAAGAAGAAAGAAAGCAAAAAGAAGTGGGAATAATTTTATTCATCAGGTAGCTACCTACATGTGAAGCATCACAGATAGTGAATAGACAAGCGCATTCACGACATAGATTGAGAAGTGTTTCGGAGAACAGGAAAAGATGGCAATAAACTTGAACACACTTTGGCGTTGGTCAGAAACAAGGGATAAAAGGTATTCCCCGTAAGGAGGATTACGGAACGAACACCACACTGTCCCGATAGACAACAACACAACGATACAACTGAGTCAGAAATCGGGTACCATTCGATAGAGTGCGAGACCACAGCTACCAATCAACAGTGCGTATGTGCGAATTACGGAGACAATGGTATTTTCTCAAAGCGGTACTCATATTGTGGCGTTTGATACAAAACAAGTGATTCGTTGATCATTAAAGATGATACAATTCAGGGGATTAAAGTTTACCTAATTAACTCAAACCGTCCTTAATGTGTGCATTAAGGAAAGGCGAGTGATTTGTCGATAGATAAAATGTGGAGGTAGATGACCACTGTCAACCTGAGACTTTTTGATGAATGAAACCTGTATGGTCTACTTTAACTTTTTTTATTACACAGTTACATACGATGAACAGCGGACGGGGTAAAACCTATAGTCACAAGAACCCACTGTTCAGTGATGACCGCCGGTAACCCAAGCCCCGGGACTTGGCCCCGATAGGTTACACGTACTATTGAACCAGTCGACAGCAAAGTTGCTTATCACCAAAGTTTGGTGGTGACGGCAGGGCTCGAACCTCGGACCATAGGGTCCAAAGCACGCCTGTGACAGCGACCAAACCACTGCTCCACCACCACCCTAATGATGAACACAAATGAGTTTTTTGAAAACAAACTGCGACAAACAGCCTCGCACCTGTAGGAAACGTCTGCACGAAAATTAAAAAAAAACAGGTAGACGGGCAACAGCTGTAAACGACCGTCCGATTTAGGAATTTTTGAATACCTCTAAAGGTATAAAAGCTGACCGATGGGAACAAATAGTCCGTCGACTGTCATGATACACACTCCACCCTCGGTATTTCTCGTAACCTTCGAAAAGCAGTTTGATTAATCTAGCGAAAGGCTGCATTATTGAAGAAGATTGGCCCGATAAGTTACACGTGAAAGATCGTGGATGGCTTCGACCATATGACATCGTTCCCAGCTAAACATGATTTCCAAACACAGATAATACCGGGACCGAACTAACGATTATCAACCGCAAAATATACACTGCCGAAACTATAAGTGTTTGCATCTCAACCAATCCTGTCATAAAGTCTTTCTGAAACACTACACGCCTGAGAAGAAATGGCGTTACACTTTGGTCCGTCTACATAGTGTGTAATATCTAGAGAAAAATTGTCCGACGGCATTCATTGAGGACCAAACAACCCTGGTCTCGGCCATGTGTACTTTGTTTTTAACAATCCGTAGTTTCATTTTGGTGATTGTTAGTTTTGTTTAAGGCAATCCGAGAAGACAAACTCAAACGATTCACATCAGTTTGAATGTACATTGACGGAAAACAACCAGATAAACGAGGTTCAGTGTGCAGATCACGAAGATCGGATCGCTGTGGTCAGAACAGCGAACACTGATCGCTGCGGTCCGGTACAGTCGGGATACGAAACCGAATCGAAACACACACAGAGAATGACGAATGTAACGAGACAAACGAACGGCACTGAAGTGCTGCTGAATCAATCACAGAGTGCTTCAAAAGGATGTGTGCTGACCGGGAGCAAATAATATGATCAACAAAAACAGAGCACGCGAAATTGGGGGATTGATGAGGTGAGCACGAAAAGAATACGGTACAATTTCGCATTACCATATTAGACAAATTCACCCAGATCAAAAAACATCCCAGTCTAAACGACTAATATCTGGAATTGTTCTCACCTGATTTCGCACGTTGGTATCTGCACCCATTTCGAGTAGGAGTTGCACAACCTGAGAATGACCTTGTTGTGTGGCCAAATGCAATGGAGTAAAGCCCAATTGTGTGCGTTGATTAATGTCCGGAGCGTTGGGCAATTCCAAGAGAAATCGAACCATTTCCAGCTGACCGAAATGACAGGCTGTATGCAACGGGGTGTATCCGGCTCGAGTGACGGGTGAAACTTGTGCACCAGCATCGAGCAGGACCTGAGCGACAGCCACGTGGTTCTCTTGTGCGGCCAGATGTAGCGGGGCAAGACCATTCTGTGAGAAACAAGAGATAAATTGAGATGGCCACTCAGATGTGGATTGTCTGTCGGTATCAAACAGAAAATTGTAATTTGATCAGAACCTGCGTACCCGTGAGAGTAAAAAGAATGGGAGGATCGTATTACAGTCCAAAGAATGATTTTTTGTACAGATAAACTGACGATTGCGCGATATGCCGAAACCATGTTCAGACGCGTTCATTTTACAAATGTACTTCATATGAATTTCTCGAATCGGATGCAATTATGTAAACACTGAATCGTAAACGTGTGAATGACATCTATAAAAATGACACATTCCATTGGAGCACGTAAATGAGCGGTCTTCTGTCGTAGTCACACGACGCATTATTTGTCCTATTTATTACTCAAACATTACTACTCATTCTATCACATTTTAACGTTGCACCAGTATCGTATGTATAAAATCTTGCAGTTGCATCTACGGTTTACATTGCTGGGAAATACAGGCTCATCATCATAGAACGCGACGTGTCTCGGAACGCAACTGCAGAATGGAAAACGAGATCTGTAACTTCGCATACGAGACATGGCAACTCTTCCAAAAGTAATTTCTGAGATGAAGCTTTGGTCATACTGAAAAGATGTTGGGGGTCGCAGCCTATCTATCGTCAGGAAAGTTATTTTGTATACGGATTGAGATGTCCACCAAAACATATATCCTCATTTAATCGAATTGTGCTTAATTAAACGTACGCAACAAATGAAGCCGAACTGAGAAACTTCACTGATATGAATGGAAACAAATCAATATATAGTACACATATGAATGACGTCATACTGTTTCAGGTCAGTGAAATTGGAACCGGCGGTGTGGATTAAGTCCCGGTAGGTGTTTCAATGCGTACCGTGTTGGAGTTCATCCAGGTGTGCAGCAACGAGGGCCAAGTTACGGACCACACAGGTATACACACAAGCATACACACATACAGGCAAGACAAACCAATGTGGACATCGACCATTTTCACCTTCATATTTGATTTACATCACCAGGTGTTTTCTCACCATAACACAAGCAGCCTGTCGTTGGTAGTCTAGGTGGGCTGGCCTGGAGCGATTATGTGTGGAAAAGGGTTTACGTTTGTTGGGACTGAAACTACGCTTAGCACTTGTATATGCTGTATCGGACCGCAAACTCGTCGATCAGCTCGTGAGTATGGTCTTTTGCGTACGTTTGCGTGACAGATTGATCAGTCACGTGACAACGTCAGCAGCGTCACATTTAGCATCCTAAATTAGTAGAACTGACTTAGGTATGAGGATGGACAAGTAATCGATAGAGGTAATTACCTCACTTGCAAACCTCACTGCGATGTGTTTACGGTGAAGAAACGGTACATTGAATCACACCACTGTCACCAATGCATTGTTCATGAAAAATATCATTCTCCGGAACTATGTATCGCCTTATCAGACAAGAGGAACAGTGAAAACGATGAATGCAATGGCCCAACCTTACACTTCCACACACACCGCAACTGGTTGCTGTCAACAAGATACCGATTTAATACACCTATGAAAAAGGAATAAAACTTGGAGAGCAGTATCAAGCTAATTAGTATATTTGTTCTATGTGGGAAGCAAGTCGAGGCATGAGCACGACAAGTGATGCTACGCGACCGTGTTACTCAGCGCGCTGACCCATCTCAATGCCCCTGGTAGAGAAAAGCAGCACATCTATGATCAAGTACCCCTGGTTATGGTTCTAATAATTTCAGTTTGAACACCGTTGGTCTTCTTCAAACTACGGCAGGCCTAACGAGCCCAATTCAGTGCCATGCACAATATATGCCAGAGGGCGCGATCTGTAGTGGTTAAGCGTGACCGCGATCATCTAATACTTTTCAACTAAGGGTGAACGGTTATCGCACCAGGCACGTGCAGTGTGTGATGTAGCTAGCGATGTTCGAATCGCAAACGCGATTTCCCGCACAATGCAGTAGGACTGGTCTAGCATACACTAGACCCGTAACAGTCTATCTGATAGCTTGGCGGCAAACAAAGTGCCTCAAGTTGGAAACGACAATCTTATTTCCCGTATGGGAGCCAACGTTTCATATAAGATTCGTCCACCAGGAAAAAACAGATGGATAAAAGTAACGGGCAATAGATCTCAACCTGTTCTCGATGAAAAAGAGGCGAATCAGGAGACACTCAATGGAAGTTTTCAATATGGTGAAGGGATTGTTTGGTTCGAAGTACGAAAATTTTCGAGCTTTCCGTCCTGACAATGGCACAAACGGACAGCCCAACTAAAATGGACTAAACGCCAGCGCTAAATCCTTCACTCACAAGATAGTGTCATTTCGGAACAAGCTACCCGAATGTGTGGAAAAAAATACAACAGATTTGATGTCTTTAGGAAGGTATTACATGATTTCTGGTCTGACATTTTTTGCGGAGGCAGTGCGGTGTACGTATATTTAGAAGATGATATTACAGCAGACATTATATTTTTTAGAAGAAAATCACCGAACCGAAACAGGCAACAAAGAAACTGCTGACAACAGAACGAACTGGAGGCAAGACTGGTCAAGACCGCACAAGCTCTTGGGCAAGCAGACCTGAATCATGACTACCTACCTGTTAAATTGAGATTAGAAGTTAGACCAAACCTCTTACGCAGTGTGTACGAATATGGCCCACCATTAAATAAGGCCACAGTCCCTTGGTCCATCACTGAAAACATAACCATGGGGATTTCCCCGTTTACAGTAATTCACATTGTGTAATGACGAAGCAATGGGACAAGCGTATGAATTGAGCAACGGTCAACTAACAGTCTTCCCGTTTCTCATGGACAAGCTGGATGTCTCGGGTCGTTAATTACCCGAAAGGCGAATGAACCAAATATGTGGTCACCGGTTATCAACAACCATGCAATCCTTCCTACCCGATGTTCGCACTTGGATATGCAGGAGGTAGAGGGGCAAGCACTATGGCTGGGGCTGCACCGAACAGATTCTAATCCTTCATCAGAACACCGCTCCCAGTAAGTAAGTTGCAAGTTGAAAGAAAGTGAGCAATTCTGCGGAAACTTAGGTAGTGCAACATGCATGCCGAATGCAGTTAAGCCGTGCTGAAAAGCTTGCAGCTCGTGTCGCGCTATTTGTGAAGTATCTTTAAACGAACATGATTAAACAACCACTGAAAATAAAGAAGATAAGTGAGAGAATCAGAGAGAGGGGAACACTTACCTTGGACTGGTGATTTGGATTAGCCTGATGCTGGAGTAACAATGAGACCATATCAATGTGACCCTCTTGAGCGGCCAGATGGAGTGGAGTAAAACCACTACGTGACTCAGCGTTCCCACTTTGCATGTGATCGGACTCGTGAGCGAGAAGCAAGGTTGCAATATCAAAGTGGTTATGTTTGGCTGCAATATGCAACGGTGTGTATCCATTCCCGGCCTGCAAGGAAACGAACGATTGGAGAAGGGAACGGGACAAAAAATCAATCACTATAAAAGATAAATATCGATTTGTTGTTCAAAATGTGACAGCGGACAGAGTGGTGGGACTTCTGCAGTTTTTCGCAGCGAGTTGATGGTGATACCGATGAAATGGACTGGTATTAATACGGCTGTGAGTTATCAGTAAAACCAAAGTGGCGATCGAAGATAGTGAGAAAAGAGAAGGGTGATACAGTGAAAAGGTGTCCAATCAAGATACAAGCAATTTCATTGACTGTGCTTTGGTGAAACCAGTCAAAACACAGATCAGAGTTGATGGGAGAGGAGACTAGAATTAACAAGCAACACAGCCATAAAACCTATGACTCTTAACCCCAACGTCTGGTTGGTTACTCCTTCTAAGCATTACAAAACGTATTACCACTGTTGGGAACGTGCGATGAATGAGCGCTTCTCCGTTTTCTACTTGTTTTTTCAGACATACAAATATTGGACTATCAAATAGAAAATGCATTCCTCAAGTAGCCGTTTTCTCTCTCTCTCTCTCTCTCGAACTATCTACCTATCTACTCGATATATATTTGCCAAACAACTGAGTATTTCACTGCTTAGACACTAGACTAGCGCCTAACTGTGAGTTGCCAAACGCTGATCCAAACTGAGATTAGCCGAGAAACAATTGAAAATCCACGACTATTTAAAAAATCATCCTCAATATCAGAAAATTATGGAGAAACACGAAGGACTTAAATCACTTGCAAGGGTGAGAAACTTGCTTGTAACTGTAAATGCGACGCCACACCGGATCCCTTCACGGATGGCAGTGAAATGAATCAATAAACATTAAAAAAAACACCGTACCCGAGGCGATATTCGAGACAGGGAACAGCGGCGTGGACAAGTGGTTCGGAAAGTGGGGGATGCGGACTCACAGAACAGTTTGCATCCGCATTGTGATCCAACAACAGTTCGACCAGTCGCAAGTGATTGTAGTGTGTGGCCACGTGCAGTGGAGTGAGATTATTCTGCCCAAATGCGTTCACATTCTTCGGCTGAGCTTGAATGAGGAGACGTGCGGCGTTCAAACGACCACGTTTAGCGGCCAAATGAAGCGGTGTAAATCCTTTCTGCTTGCGAGAACCGGTGTGTGTTTGGGGGATGGGTGGGTGGAGGGGGGATGTTGCGAGAAAAACATAAAAGGATGAGGAACGAGAGAATTCCCTTGAAAAGAGGATGAACCCACGAATCTGGATTGGAATGCAGGGCTGAAATGTGCAACACACGTGACATGTCAAGAGGGGTTTGAAAATGACTTTATCTCCAAACAAACAATGTGTGGGTGTGAGAGTAAAACTTTCAAAATTGCATTTTCTAAATGATCACTGGAACAGAGAGTATTTAAAATACGAAGCATTGATCAATGTATTTCAATTGAACAATAATTGAGAACAATCGGCATTATTGCTAAAATAAGTGATGTTGTCATCACCATTGTTCAGTGTAATACGGTGAAGTGAAATTCACTGATTGCTATCAAACTCGCAATGCATACAATGCAAGTAGAAATGCGTAAGGAGGATAGAAACTGGGCCTATTTTCAGGGACGCGAAAAGTAAGCAAACCTCTATGGTCAATGCACAGAGTACATAGTCCAACTGTGCATACACCCGTTTTCCAGCATTCTGATCTGATTAGAAGTGACAGAAAGATAGCCAATTCTGTCGGCTTGCTACCATGATCTGCAGAGTCTCTAACCATATCCATTCAGCTATTTCGATAAATGACGGGACATTGTTTGCCTAACGCGATGGACGTCAATAATACTCAATTCTGTATAATTGTACATCGCCTATAGTATCTATAACATGAGTGATTCACAGAACTTAGATGGTCGAAAGGAGGATGGAAATATAACGACAGCACTTAGCACCCGGTGGAGCAGTTTCGAGGATAACTGAGTTTAGCAAAGTGACGGTAACAACTTTCTCTGTATGGTAATGAGTTCTATTAGCATCACTCTGTCTTGGTGGTTCCGTTGCCAGAAGATCACGGAAAAACTGGGTGGGATAGAAAAGCGTTTCGCGCACTACACAATTCGAATGAGAGCGACAACAAAAAAATGGAGAAATTTGGAGCGGTGCAGGGGCCGAACAGACAAAACTGAGACGAGTCAGAAAACGTAACTGGTGAATAGACCGGCGAATAAATCTTATGTGAGAAAAATTTCCGAGTCTTGAGATCGATTATACCAGTCCCGCGGATCAAAGTCACTGGTGATTAAATCCAGTCCCAGATCGTGTGTGAGAAAAGGTAATCAGACAAATTTCAATCTCATTTTGAAGTCAATCACACTAGGTTTTGGCAACACGGGTTGGCATGGCTGCTCTTATTTACGCCAACCCTGCGTTGGTGGCCTTGTTCACTCGACCGTGGACGAACATTTGGATCCGCAGATTATGGGTACCGACATAAACATATGTAGAGATTCGATTGGTGTTGCTATGCCAACCGGTGAAGTTGTGCATGTTTTTTCTATTGATGAATGTGGTAACCGGTATTCCTTAAGAGATGACGATGCACGAACACATAGGTGACTAGTCGATACCACCAGGGAGCACAGTGGTGTACTGTGGCGGGTCTCGGGGTGACCGGAAGCGCCCGGGCATCGGTGACACGAAAAAATACAATTTCAACCAAACGTCACAGATCATATAGGCGCTGTGAGAATATTAATAATTTATTCGATTTTTGTTTTTTGTTCACTTAAAAATGGCGAAATGGTTTTTCCAGCGTCTTCTGACAACAATGAGCACTAAAAACATCACGCAAACTGTCAGGTGCCAACATACACGCAAACTGTAGACAAGATACATATAAATTACCCGGTACGTCCAAGAAGAGCTTTTTAAAAGAGAGGTTTTATTGTACACCTGTATATCTCACCACACTCGTTCTCAGCTTTATAATTAACTGGACAAAAATATAGCTAATGCACTCGAAAAACGGATAGATGGCAGTTGTACTAGAACTCATCGAATCGTGTGGCTATCTCCTTCGCTGCGTTACCGTCATTGGTCATATAACTATCTAAGTAGAGAAAACAATCCACCATAACTAATTCCAGGCCGTTTAGTTTCAAAGTGGGACTAGGCAACGCCCAGTCTTGTAGCATCACTTTGCATTTTGAAGATGCAGAGTACATACCGAATGTAGTAACAGAACTCGACACATTGTCTATAGCGCCTTGTGCTCTTCTACACATTGTTCTAGATCGTACACCGTTTCTCCAGGTGCCCATTTAACACCTCCGGTTTGGAGACTAATTAGTGCGTCCTCCAGAATTTCATTGTAGACGAAATCGAACATGAATGGCGAAATAAGGCACACTTGACGAACGTTGCAGCCGGTGATGAACGGCCTTCGTAGTTCGGTATAAACCCTCACTCGAACAGATGTATGTGACTACAGTGAACTCAGTAAATTAACGTACTTTACGAAGAAGGAAACCCCTCAGAGCTTCGCGGTCAAATGAGTTAAGGGCTCCTTCCAGGTCCAGGAACACTGTCACCGTTGATCGACGGTGGGTGTGACGCAGATCGAGGACCAGACGTAACGCATAAACTTCATCAATACATTCACGACCAGTCCGGAATCCGGCTTACTGTTCAGGGATGATGATCTCTCTTAAAGGAACCAGACATCGAAATATGACGGAGGCTAACACTTTGTTGACGATTGCGGCAGTTTTGTTTTGTAATCAATGCGCGATTCCGTCTTGAAAATGGAAACGACCAGTGTTTCGCTCTCTTGCATCCAAGTGTATTGCGGTAATAGAACTTAAG